CTCTCTCTCTCTCTCTCTCTCTCTCTCTCTCTCTTCCTCCTCTCTCTCTCTCTCTCTCTCTCTCTCTCTCTCTCTCTCTCTCTCTCTCTCTCTCTCTCTTTCTTCCTCCCTGTCACGCCGGCTCCTCGGAATGAACGAAGCGGCGACGTCGCTCGCTATCGACTAGGGTCTTCTCGACTTTCTCGGACACTTCCTATGTATATCTAACTCTTCACTACGGCTAAGATCCCCGGAATAATAATGCACCATTTAAAAGTCTGGCGCGACTCTGGTGTGCCTATGCTCCGACTACGGGCACGCTCCGCCCGTAGCGACCCACGCGCGCTCGCGGGTACGGTCCCTCTGTTCCTCTCCGGTTATCTTCTCCGGATGATCGTCCCCGGTGGTCCACCGCTTCCGCGTGCGTAAGATCCCGCGACTCGTCGGTTAGCAGGACTCGTCGTCGTCGTGCCCGCCTGCGGCATGCGGCAAACGTCGCGGGCCCGTCCTGACCCGCGCGAATGACCCGCGCGAATCTGTCACCGCGAACCCCGTCACCGATGACGAATACCGTGCCGTGGCCAGAGCTAATCGCATCCTTCCTCGTCGTGCGACAGCGACAATCCGACAGAACCGACGGTAATCCGCGTAATCCCACGTATACGTTCGCAATCCCGTCTCGACTCCGGCTTCCTCGACGCGTTCTCCTTTTCCTCCTCTTCTTCCTCCTCCTCCTCCTCCTCTTCCGCCACCTGCTCTTCTTTCCACTTTGCCCACTCGCCGTTATTATCCTGGTCCGCCTCTCTGGCTGTCTTTCTGTTACGCGACGACAGCAGGAAGTCAGCCGATGTCATCCGCGATGAACGCCGGGAGCGCGTTCGTAGAATCCTCTCGTAACGACCGAAGCACGCTTGTCGGAGGCGCGCCGGACACTGAGGGGCAACCACCACCACTACCACCACTACCGATACCGGCACCACCACCGCCGTACCAGCGACTGTGAGCCGGCATCAGGAACAGTAGCAGCAGTAGCAGCAGCCAGCAGCAGCACCAGCACCAACGATAGCCACCACCACCATCACCACCACCACCACCACCACCACCACCACCACCACCACCACCACCACCACCACCACCATCACCATCACCACCACCGCCGCCGCCACCACTACACCACCACCAGTGCCACCAACACCACCATCAACCACCCACTACCATCGGCGGTGTCGAGCGCGACCAACGAGATACTGTTCACCCACCCACCGCGATATAGGTACTACAACGGCCGACTAAACTTCTCGGTAACTTTATATAGATGGTCCCTTATAATGTGATAGCTCTTCGTGATCCGCCGCTAGGATATTTAAAGAATTAAATATCCGTTGCGTGTATCGCGCGTAAACTCATGAGTATGTAGACTCTCGATGATGATAATGTGCGGGCGCAATTCAGAATGACAATTTAAGAAGAAGTGGAAGGTAGGAAGAGAGAGAGAGAGAGAGAGAGAGAGAGAGAGAGAGAGAGAGAAAAGTAAGTAGTAGTGGGAAGGAAGTAAAGTTAGTATAGGTTCGTAGTTTGTTTATATTTAGTCCGAATAGTGACATAGTAGACATTCGTACTTTCGTTCAACTTTCAAAAAGAGACGAAGACATTAAAAAGAGGAAGAAAAAGAGGAAGACGAAGGGAGGAATGATTACTAGCACGTGACTGACCGTGTGATATCGCGGACAGTTCGCGTGACATTGCGATGATCTCGGCGTCATTAGCGACGTCAAACCGAATCGCAAAAGAGACGGCTGGTCGGCGCAAACGGGGGACCACCTGTTAGGCGCCAGCGGTATATCACGGCGAAGAACTCGCCGATGATAAGATAACGCCCGAGTGGAAACGGATGACCAATTTGTCCCACCCACGCGATCGCCACGCAAGACATTTATCTCAGGATCCTCGGGAGTAAGGTTCACCATAGATCTTCACTTTTGTTCGCAAAAACGATATCGCCCGCACATATTTGTAATGTCGCCGATTGTAATTGCCTTCTGAGAGAGGAGAAAAATTGATGTACGTTCTCTACGACCTCCACTTGGAGAACAATCGCCAAATTTATTCGCCATGGTATATTCGTAACGTATTCGCCCCGAAATTTCGATAGTTTTAGTTCTCTAACGAAAAAAAAAAAAAAAAGAAGATAAATCAAATCTGTAACGCTATTCGCGTACAGCTTCATCGATATTTATCGCTCTTTTTTATTACAGCCAGCAGATGCGATTTTACATTTCACATTTCAAATAACCGAAAGATATATATAATTCTGCAGTTCGTTTCTTCATTATTAATTTCGTTTCTTAATTATCGTAAAAAAATTGAAATTATTTCAAAAAAACATTTATCGTTTATCTATTAAATTCAGACAAGTCTATCCAGTTTTAAGATAAAAAGAAAAAAATTACGATGCTTCTCCCCAAATTAAACTATATGCATGCAACGTATTCCAAGTATTTTGATTAATCGAATTATCTTCAAAACCATATGATCTCGTATTAAATTTTATTCAATTATTACGACGAACGTATCGCGCTGATCTGATATTTCGCAATACATCAATGCACAAGATAGGTCCTTCGGTCGCGCTATATATACGATTGCAGCGAATCTGAAGAAGGATACGACAAGGTTTTCGGTCCTTCGAAAACCTTCGACACGACGAATATCTCGGTATCACTAGATAATGCATCGCATCGCATCGCATCGCATCGCATCGCATCGCATCGCATCGCATCGCATCGCATCGCGGCACCGAAACGGCTGATCCGCCGCTCTCTCGCGACGGAGGGAGAAGGCAAAAAGGAGACGCCGCGAGAGAAAAGGGATAGAAAGAGAAGCGAGGTAGCCGTAAGCATATTGATCAGGAGACAGTAGTTGGCCGCATGCCACGTGGTGATGCTACGAGAGGCGCCGGCCTCTCTACCTATTATGAGCCAAGGCTCCTATCTTCGCGTTTCTTCTTTTCCCCGCGGGATTCACCCCGACGCCATCCGCCGTTGTCTTTCTCTTTTTCACCACCCCCCCCCCCCTCGACGTGGCCCCCATCTTCCCCCTATTTCTCCATCCTGTTTCTTCGGACAGAGAGTCCTTTTAGCCCGCGTTATTTTACCGCTCTCCGTTCTCCTCTTGCTGCGTGTACTTTATCTTCTTGCTTCGTAAGGACTGTCTTTATTCCGAACGCGATGTCTAGAATTTGCCGTATACATAAATGAATAATAAATATATCTATATATTTATTTATTTATTTATTTATTTATTTATTTATTTATTTACCTGCACATACGCGAATGAATGCGTGTGGCCCGTTTTGGCGCTTATGCGAACGCAGTCACGCACACGGAGCCTACCCTCGATATCTTTCTCTTTCTGTATTTCTCTTTCTTCCTTCGAGTCCGCAATTTCTCGACCTCCTGATCAGGAGCGTTAAAATTGAGACGTCAGCCTAACAAGCTCACTCGCATCGTTCGAGCGCAAAGGACATCTCCATTCCACCTCCTCTCCTTCTTTCGCGAGCGAGCGGGCGATCTCTCAGCGGCAACTTTAAGAGAGGAAAAGAAAAAGTTGAGGGGAAAAAAAAAGAAAAGATCGAAGGGGGTCCTGTTAAACGGCCGGCTCGGCAGAGAGAAAGGAAACCGCCTTCTTGGGTGGCCACCGGTTCCTCTCGGTCAACCCCTTATCCCCTTTTAGCGATCATGTCTTATAACATCGTCCTCTTGTTGGTCTTTTGATCTCGCGGGATTATTATGATCTGCCGTTCTGTAACGTAAAGTCGATAATAGAATTACCTTTAGCGTATATCGACGCCGAGTAAACGGTTATCTCGCGCGGGTTCGTTCAGGAAAGGTTGATAAGCAAGTTAACGCCGTAAAATGCTATCGAACGATGTACCTGTAGGGTTGCTTCTATTATGGTGACTTGTTCCCTTCAGTCCTATTGCCGTTAAAGTAGATTTTAATATGACAAAATGATCCAATCATGATGGACTCAACACTTGCAATTCTAAATTAAATAATAAACAATTACGCTAAATATATTTGTACTTTTATATGCAGTTTTAAGTGTACTAGAACATAATACGAAACAGGCACTTTGCAATTATTGCGCGAACATGTGACTTATTTCCTAACATTTTTTTTTATATTTCATTTGATTGATTTTCATAGTAAAATTTTTCTATTTATAAATTAGTTTATCTCATTTTCTCTATCACGAGAAAATGTGTATCATAAATTATGATATACTTAGTACATTTTATCACTAAAATTAAACAATAACAGTTTTAATAAAATACTATAATAAAAACTTATAAAAATTAGCATTGCAAAAAATTTTGTAAGATTGCGAATGTAAGACATCCTTTTTCCAATCAAAGCTATTATAAATAAAACAATTATTTTATTATTTTATTTTTTATCACAGAAAGAATAGTTTTTGCTGAAGTGTTTAAAAAATTGAAACATTAATTTAAAAATAATTTTGACTCATCAAAATCATTTAATATGCTTAAGCACAAAATAATACTGCAAAAATTTTTGATATTTCCACAATCAATTTAAATATCCTACATAAATATTTTTGGTGACTAAAAATAAAATTATTTTAAAGTACTTTAGCAATAATATTCTTCTTTTAATATTCTTTTTATTATTGAGTGCTAATTATTTATAAAATAATTAATTACAATAAAAATGAATATTGGAAAATTTATTTTGTAGGCTTAAAATAAAGCTAAAGAAGAATATATAATTTTATGTAAAAGTTCTTTTAATGTCACCAACAAGTATATATATAGTAATTTAATCATCAATTTTAATGTAGAATGGTAATTAAGAAATTAAAAATACAAATTAGATAAAAGTCATTGAGTGTATTTAGTGTATTCTTAAATTAAAAATAATATTATTCCAAAAGTTTAACATTTAATATACAAAAAATATTAATATTTTTTATAATATAAAATATTTAAGAAAAAATTTTATAAATATAATAAATGTAAATTAAAATATACAGGATGAATCTCAATGGATGTTCCAATCTTTACCATGGGATAAGTTACCAACTGTAATCCATTTTCAATCCATGATGGTAACTGCTTGGATCGAATATATTTTACAAATATACTTCTTACAGAAAAATTGCATAATTATATTTTTCTATAAAAAAAGTATTTTGCACAATATTTTTATCTAAATATAAATATAATAGAAAATGAAAAATAATAACAGTGAATTTCTACACCACCCTCGAGGTTCCATTTTTACGTGTTAGATTTTTTAAAGTGGACCTTCGCCTGGAGCCATATTATACCACATTTTTTTTTTACCTATTTTTCGGTATGTAAAGCTCAAACAGATATTGCAGTCATAAGAGCACGTAAATAAAAAATCACATCAACGTATGATCGTGCGCAACATGTCCACAATCTATCATTAGGCCTGTTCTTTTTGGCTGAACTGGTTGTATTAGTTCACAGTTTATTTTTCTTTCTTACACTGGACCTATATTTTCACTTTAGCATGGTTGAAGGGGAGGTCCCGTTAGCCACAATGAGATAGCACACATCCACACACATCACCGCTGCTTAGGAATTTTCCAATAGATCACCAATCAGAAAATTTTAATTGGCCAATCAGCATTGTATCGAATCCCTCTCGTTTTGAGCATGTGATTGGTCCACTGGAAAATTTCTAAGCAACGGTTGATGTGAGTGGATGTGTGTTACTGCACTGTGCGCGAATGGGTGACACCCGTTTGACATTCCGATTGACTACTAGCCACTCACAGCGCTTGAACAGTGGAAAAATTCTAGGCACCAGCCTCTGCGAATGGCTAGTGATCAATCGGGACAATCGTGGTCAAATAGGTGTCACCCTGCGCGAATGAGACCCACCCCCTTCTTAGGAGCCGGAACTGTAGCCTTTCTCCTGATTTTTAACCTCTAATTGAGCAGATGTCACTTTGCAACTTTTGTTTAACATTATTGTCATTTTTAGACTAATACGATATATAATCTACTTTGAAAATATGGCGAAAAATCATAAACGTTTGAAACGTCTAAAATCAGAGAAGGCAAAAGTAAAATTAAAGGCTAAGAAGTCTGTTAACCAGATACCAAAGAGTTTGAATATTACGAATACATCGTTTAAAGTAAAGAAGATACTATTACCTGAACAACTAAAGCATCGAGGTGAAACGGAAATCGGTATTTGCAAATCGAACATTAATGTATGTAAAGTCAATTTTTTATCTTTTCATATTTTTTTATAAATCAATTACATGATTAGCGTCACGTGTGTTCAGTTATTTAATATACCAAGGTTAGAATTTTTATATTATCGTTAATAATCTATTTTCTTCTAGGATCTTTTAACGCGTTTTCGGCATTACAATTCAACTGTAAGAGAAGATGCATTGAAACAATTAAAAAATATCTTGTTACAAAATTCAAAATCTTTACATTCGCAATTGAGTTCTTTATTGCGTGGTATTGCGGCTTTATCTCTTGATAAAGAGAAAAATGTAAGAAGGAGTTGTTTTAATGCTTTGAATGTTCTTCTTGGCCTTATCTCGAATGAACAATTGTTACCCTTACGTGAAGTTGTAATCTCTTATTTGAGTTGTGCCATGACCCATATTGATCCACGTATAAAAGAAGATTCTTTACTTTTCTTAGATGTGCTTGTACAAAATTGCAATAGTGTATTAGCAAAGGATAGTCATAAAATATTACCTAATTTTTTGGGTATGATATGCAAATTACATAATGAAGCTGGTCCTGATGCTAAATTGATGACAATGTTAAATTCCAAAAATACTACTGTAAAATGGAGGATTAAGGTTCTAGAACGTTTAGCTAATATATTTACCTCTGTTGTCAACTATAGAAAGTTTTATAGAAATACACATTCGAATCCACTTTCAACTACAAAAACAAGAACATATACCAAATATGTTCCCATTTATAGTAACAATATGACTCAAATTTGTGAAGTTAATCTTGATATAAATGCAACAAGTAATTGCACAGAAGAAATTTTACCTATAAAAGAATTCGAAAAATATGTAGGTTTATTAATGCCATTGATGTTTGATATTTGGCTTGAAGTATGTCCAGATGAGAAAGTTGAGAGTTACACTGAGATTACAATTTCCAGCGAAGCAGCTACATTATTGAAAAATATTGTCATAATTATACAATCAATTATAGAATATATTGATACATTAGATCGTGATAATTGTAGTGTTATGCATATAAAATGTTGGTTCAAAAATAGATTTCACAATACCTATATGAAGAATTTTCTATCAAAATTTCCATATGGGGAAGTAAAACGATCCGTTAGCGAATCAAAAAGACGTCAGGAGGATTTTTCTCAAGTAGTGTTCACAGAAAAATGTCTAGTGCAAAACTTGGGTCTTTGTCAAATACATGTATGGTTTACATCTCTGTTTGATCATACAGAGCGGTTTTGTGCACTTATCAAGAATAATTGCGAATCTGTTGCGACATACTTGAATGGTAAATAAAAATTATTATTATCTAATTGTTATTGTATATCGAATTTTTTTATGGAACAATTTTTTTATAGGTGTTATTGAAAATTCGTGCGACTCGTCTGCGATACCGCAATTGACTAATCTTTTGAGAGTTTTATTTTTGAAAGCGAGCCCAGTTTGGTATGTCAATTGTATTAATCTGAGTCATACTTTACAATTGATTATTGAAGCATCTTCTAGTTTGCCTAACAAAGAGTTACAATCGCGTTTGTGTTTAATTGTTGGTGATATTATGTTGGAAAACAACTTGAATGAATTACACAGGTAATTGTTTCAAGTAGAACTTGTGACAGTGAATAATTTAATATTTAATTTTTTATAGAGCATGTATTTGCAAATATCCGTTAATATACAATGACAAACTATATTAATTAATGAGTGAACGAATATCTCGAATTATATTCATCTCTTGATCTGTTCAACAGAGAGAAAGTATTCAAAAACTTCGTTAAAATCTTACCGAGTTTACTTCTAAGATCAAGTATAAACGACGTCACAATTCGAATGATCAGTCAAATAGTTCTACGTTTTAAGGATTGGATCCAGGAAGAATTAGTAGCTAAACACGAGGCTATTATCGGTAAGAAATATAACTTTACACACTATTATTCCAAAGTATTTATTCAAATTCTATTTTTCTTAATAGAATAATAAAGATTCCAAAGAATAATTTGAAAATTATTTTTCATTTTTGATTTTTAATCTTTTCATAATATATATATATTCTAGATTGAATTTGACAATATTTATTTAAATCAATATCCTCTGCATATATAAAGAGAAAATATAACAGAATAAAAGTTAAACATGTAAAAAAGAAATATGTAGAGGTATATAAAATAATACTTTTGAGTGTTGATATGATTAAACGTAAATCTTATTTGTCGCGTTTGTTGTATTAATGTTTTATTCCTTTCAGAAAATGCTAAGAAGATCGTCATTCTAAATTCACATGATGATAGACAATCGAGACTTATGATATATAATCTATTTTACTTTATAGATTCACAAATTTATTATTAAATTAATAAAGTGATCAATTTGAACAAGAAATTTATTCTTTTTTATATTAAGCACATATCCTGATAAATTTTCGTTAATATATTGTACAAACAGTATACATAAACATTTATTACATTTTTATCTTGTATCAAAATATTCGTATACTCATGTACATAATTTATAACTTAAATGTGTGTCATACATTATCACTAAAATGAAATGACAAAATGGTATCTACTATTTATGTTTATTTATCACGTAGATGCGACATTTCTCTAGAGTAGATATTGGATGCATAATTGAAGTCTTTTTCGAATAACTAAATATCTTTGACATGTTACAACATAATACAACTATAGTACAGCAATATTACATGACATGAATTCATCGATATTTTTGTAAATACTGTCTATATATATTATTGGACCATCTACACTAATTAACAATTACATTTAATAATAACGAAACACATGCAACGTTAATGTATTATTTATATGATATAATATTTATACAAATATTTTTTAATTATAATTCTGTTTTTCTCTTCTATCTCCTTCTCTTGTTCTTTCAAGTTTAATATATAAGTTCTTTCAAGTTTAATATATAAGGTGTCACATTTTAATGAAAATAATAAGCTGTACATCTCGTAAACTTGATGTACAAAAATATCGTTGCTCGTTTCTATCCATTAAAACAGAATAAAACGTACATAATATTCGAATATTCTGTACATATTTGTCAATGCGAATTTTTATGTTTGTAATTAAAAAAAATAATTGAAAATGAATTCATTATGCGAGAGATTGTCATTATACTTGATCGTTTATAAAACCAAAATTTTCGAATCCGTTTTCTTTGATCTGTCCACTTTGTGGCTTGGTTGAATTATTAAAATCATTGACGTTTTGATTCGAAACTTCAATCGGGTGATAGCTGTTTGGTGTATTTTTCGCAATATTCTGTAAATTATCTTCTTTTCTCAGGATAGATAGTGTCGATAATTGTTTCTTAAATTTGGACCAATTTTCACAGTTCTTTAATTCATATTCTAGCCTGACATAGCATTTCTTGGATTTTTCTGGCTTGTATAATTTTCTCCTTAAGGTCTCAAAGACACGCTCTATCGCGAAATCTTCAACGAAAAAGCAAATGAGAAAATTGATTAAAGCGAGCGCTAGGATAATTATCTTCCAATCGTAAGAAGATGGTAGTACAGTCATTTCGAGTGCGTTTTTTAACCACTCCGCAGGATAAACTGTAATATACGCGCATATAATCGTTAATAAAAATAAGGAAAACATAAACGCACCGTTCGTATAGATCGCGCGTCTATAGGGTTTCCCCCGTGAAAATACAATCGCTAACGTGATGTATTGAAACATGGAGATACAAAAGACAGAGTAGTTTTCGTAACACGCATATACAGCCTTGTCAGTATCATTAATCCTGGTAAGATTAGCTGGTTCATACCATGAGAATTGCCGAACGCCGTGATATGCTGTTGCTTGAAAAATGATCATTACGAGCATGTGTAGCGTTAGAGATAAAAGCGGAATGAGGCTTAATAGACTGGTCATCGGTGCTATTTTGGATAATTTTTTCTTATACGCGTGAGTCTTACCGAAGAAAAAGGCAAAGTTGATAATTAGACAGATATCGATAAATAAAAATTGTAGATCCGTCAAGTTCGAATTTATGGAGTACAGTATTATGACAGATAAGAATTCAGTGAGAGAATACGCGACCATAAATTTAAAAATTCCAAATGACGTAACTAAAGCAGCGCGTCCTTCCCTTATTACTTTTGGGACGCAACTTATATCGGATATCTTCGAAGTAAAGGGGCTGGCCACACTGCAAAAGAGAATAATGAAAATTATTGATTCATAAAGAAGAAAGAAATAGCAAGATCAGAAGGACAGCAGACAATTGAATGAGTAATGGGATAAAAAAAAAAATTATATATATATATATATATATATATATATATATATAGGAAATAAAAAATAATATATATATATATATAAGTAAGTAAGTAATAAAAATAATATATATATATATATATATATATATATATATATATGAAGTAAAAAATAATATATATATATATATGAGTAATGGATAAAAATATATATATATATATATATTCACCTGGATTCCGCTTCGGAAAGCGATATACCGACATGTGCAGCTCTTAACGCTCCGCAATCGTTGGCGCCGTCTCCGCACATGGCTAACATCGTGTACACAATATTTTTCATGTTATATTTGTACTTGGCACGTTTATCATACATATGTTAGCATTTCCCTCTGCATTTTCGAGACATTTACGTACCTACGTAATAACCGAGTCGCATTAGCTCCACAACCAATTGTTGCTTCTGATCGCTGCTCATTCTGGCGAATATCGCACTGCGTACGCAAACGCGATCCACAAGCTCGGGATAATATTCCCGCATCACGTGCCATGCGTGACCCGTTAAAGCAAATCTGTAATTGCAATTGGCTATACCACGTTCCACATCTTTAATCGTTAGTACTGTCGAGTGCTCTTGACTCTGCGAGAACAACACGTTGAAAAATATGTTAAATCCTATGTATAACTATTCCGTTCGAAAAAAGAGAATTTTCCGAATCAATTAGAGTTTACCAATTTTGAAGATCGAGATTGAACATTGAAAGTTAGTTCTGGATGATCTTTTTCCTCATTCGAAATTACGGTTACGTCTATAAGTTGTTCCTCGATCGAAAGTATTCCGCATTCTCTAGCGACACTCATCGCGGTCTGAATGTTATCTCCTGAAAATGAAAAGTCAATTCCATTATGACGATGCGAATAATAATAATAATTACGGAGAAATTTATATTGACGCCTGATATATCGTTTGAACCTGTAATCATCACCACGCGTATGTTGGCTTCCCTCAGTTCAGTAATCACTGGCGTCGTCGGTCGTTTCAAACGATTTTCCAAAATAATTAATCCCAAGAATTCCAAGTTCCGTTCAACCACATCCCGAGATAATCTCAATATCTACGGACATATACGATCTTTAGGAAATATCACATAGAGACATAGAGACGTCAAAATCGTTCATTTACGAAAAGGAAAATCGTGCACGTTATTACCTCTGCACTGCTTTTGGAAATTGTCGTCCTACGACCCATAGCTATCACGCGAAATCCCTGTTTCGTAAATTGCTCCATCACGAGCGAAATGTCACTCGGTACAGTTTCCATTTTGCTTAGATTGATTATCATCTCGGGAGAGCCTTTCGTATAAGCTCTGAAATCATCTGATCCTGATGCATGTACAATCACGGACATCCGTTGCAAGGCACTTGAAAACTGATAACGCTGTATTATACCAATCTCCGTGATTTCATTCGCATTTTGCGTCAAACTTATGCTCTCCGGTGGCCTCACGATCATCGACGCTATCACATCATGTTTGTCTACATGCACGCAATCTGAATCTTTTAATATCCATTTAGTACTTTCAAACATCTGTAACGTGTAACGTGTCGTCACGATGTGTCGTATCGAGACGTCAAATTGTAAAGCATGATCTTCGATAAAAGTAAAAGCACTGCCTTACCTTTGCATCCAAAGGATCTCCGCAAAGTTCTCCGTCGAGAAGTGTTAAACTATGACAAACTAGCATCCCTTCGAAAAGGGGATGATCTTTAAGTTTGGGTACATCCGTCACGGCTTCGCCGAGGAAGCCGTTCGAACATGGTACTATACCCCACATGTCCAATCCATCCTCGGTCAATGTTCCCGTCTGCGGACACGATGTCAAAGTGAGAAAAATGAGAGAAAGTACAATCGTTGGCGTAATAGTATCGAATTGCTCGCTTGTCCCGCGACCACGTGGCTGCGACATTATTCTCCTTTTCTATCTTTCTCTCCCTCTCACCTTATCGAAACATATGCAATTTATGCTGCCGGAAACATTTATAACCCTGTTATTAATACAATAGATTTGCGCACGTTTCAATCTCTCTTGAGCGTACAGCTTTCCTATAATCATCGCGGCTGGCAATGCCGGTGGTACGACTATCGTAATAAGATCTAACGCTTTTATCACTGTGTCCTGAACTTTCTGTCTCATCGAAACCTAAATTATTTATCGTAATATTATTATTATTATTATTCTTAATTGCTACCGTGGATATCGATCTTTTATCTCTTTATTAACAAGTTAATCAAACAGATAAATCATACAAGTATGAAGGATACAATTAAATAAGTATGTATAAATATTTGTTTGAAGACGTTCGAGATTACCTTAAGTATTACAGTATATATGCAGCCACAGATTGCGATAAATGCCAAGATGCCAATAAATTTATAAGAGTCTTTATCGAATTTGAAATCTGTTGGAGGTGGATATAGTATAGCGGCGATTAAGGCACCTCTGTTAGTTAGAAAACCAGTTTTAATTACTCTTGCAAGAACTGGTTGATCGCCATGGCACCTACGGAATATATTATCTATTGATTATTCATAATTAATTATAAATATTAACAGCTGCAGAGAGAAAAAAGAGAGAGAGAAAGAGAAAAGGAAAAGAGAGAGAGAGAGAGAGAGAGAGAGAGAGAGAGAGAAGTATTCGTACTAGTT